GACTAATACGTATTCACCTATGAAGAAAATTATTCTTACAGATGATGTACCAGTGTACACTACACCTAGACGAGTACCTTATGTAGATCAGTGTTTTATTGAAAATCAGGTTAGCCAATGGTTAGAGGAGGGTATAATAAAACAGAGTACTTCAGAATTTGCTTCGCCTGTGGTGTTAGTACCGAAAAAATATGAATCCAAGAGAATGTGCTGCGAATACCGGAAATTAAAGTAGAAGATAGTAAAAGATAATTTTCCTATGGTGTTGATCGATGATGTGTTAGAACGGTTACAGTTTGCCAAGATTTTTACAACTTTGGATTTGGCTAATGGATTCTTTCACGTACCAGTTTCAATCGAGTCTCAAACAAACACATCATTCGTTACACACCATGGTCAGTATGAGTTTTTATACGTCCCGTTTGGCATTTCGAATTTTCCCGCAGTTCTTTGTCGATTCGTTAGTTCAGTTTTCAGAGATTTAATACAGAATATACAGTTTTTAAAGAAAAAAGTGTCGTTCTTGGGATATCTAGTAGAAGAGGGAACAATAAAGCCTCCGAAGAGAAAGTACGAGCGGTGTCAAACTTTCCAATACTTAATAATGTGAAATGGTTCAGCGTTTTTTGGGATTAACTTCATATCTTCGAAGGTTTGTGGCGGATTACGCATCGAAAGCTAGACCGCTTACGGACTTGTTGAGAAAGAGTCAGTCGAACAACTAAAATTAGCGTTGACAAGTGCGCCAATGCTTAAACTATACGATCCGCAGGCAAAAACCGAAGTACATTCAGATGCGAGCATGTATGGATATGGAGCGGTATTGTTGCAAAAAAGACTCAACTGATCAACAATATCATCCAGTACAATACATGAGTCGTCGGACAACTCCACGGGAAGAAAAATATCATTCGTACGAGCTAGAGGTTCTAGCTATCGTACAGGCGTTAAAAAAGTGGCGTATAGATGTATTGGGTATAAATTTTAAAATCATAACAGATTGTAACGCGTTCGCTCAAAAAAAAAAAGAGTGAGGTTTCTCTAAGGGTTTCGAGATGGGCTATTTTTCAAGTTTTTTTGTTTACTATCGAGCATCGATCCGGAACAAAAATGAGGCACGTCGATGCTTTGAATTGAATTTCTTGCTTAATGATAGAAGACTTCATAAGACACCAATTAAACATAGCTCAATTAAGTGACGAGTGGGTAAAAGCAATCCAAAGTACTTGAGAGGGAAGAATATATGGACTTTTTCGTGAAGTAACCCGAGGAGAATAATTTCAGACAGGGGAACTGCGTTCATGTCAGAAGCGTTCGCAGATTATTGCAAAGGAATTAGCATTCAGCACTTACTTATAGCAACAGGCGTGCCGAGAGGAAATGGACAGGTCGAACGAATCCATAAGATTGTAGTTCCTATGCTAGCAAAATTATCACAAGAAAATCCATCTCAATGGTATAAGTTCGTAGGACGTATTCAGCAAATTTTTAATAATTAATGATTTAGAATTAAGAGAGTTATTACGAAATGAGATGGTTGAAGAAATTAATAGAGAAAGAGATAGTTTGAGAAAAGAATCGCAGAATAACATTCAGAAATTGCAGCAAGAAAATTGTAAAAACTATAATTCTAACAGAAGACCTGAAATTCAATATAAAATAAATGACTTAGTCGCAGTTAAAAGAACTCAGTTCGGACCGGGGTTAAAGTTGAAACCTAAATTCTTGGGTCCTTATAAGGTGACTGCTACGCATAAACATGGCAGGTACGAGGTAATGAAAATTGGAGACCACGAAGGACC